CCTGGCCTTGAGATCAAGAGGCTTTGGAGACACCTGGTGTGAGTGGAAGGTTAAATACCATTGCATTAGAAGGTAAGCTGGAAGTGTTCTTTCTAGCCAAGTCCTGGATTCAAGGATTATGTGATCTATGGGAACATAGTCATGCTGGGCTCATAGAGAATTATCATGTTCCTGTAGGTGAATTAGAAGAAACAGCTTTGCTAAATAACATTTTGAGAGAATGAGTGAGTTTCTATTAGCATTAGAACCTACCTAGCCCACTTGGATAATATGCTCACTTAGGTTATTTCATGCATTTCCTTATCAAACTAAAATTAAAGTGTCCTCCATTTGATAACTAGAATCTACCTTAAGAAAAGTTTCATATCTATTTGAGTTTTCATTTTGTCACTTTTTTTTGGTGTCAGGGATCAAACCCAGGACCTCATGAAAGGTCAGCAGGTACTTTACCACTGGGCCGTCCTGTCCCTAGCCTAAACTGATGTGTGCACATTTGAGTATATGCTTCCAGAGGCTAGGGGTCAACTTTGGGTGTCATTCCTTAGACATTATCCACTTAAAACAATATTGTGTGTGTATGTGTGATTTGTGTGCACAAATGCAGGTCCTTGAATATCATGGCACATGTATGCGGGGTCAAAGGTCAGCTTTCAGGTGTTGGTTCTCTCCTTTCACCTTGGGATCCAGGGATTGAGCTCAGTTTACCAGGCTAGTGCTATCTTGCCAGCCCATCACCTTGGTTTCTGAAGCAGTGTCTCTCGATGGCTTTGAACTTGCCCAGTAAGCTAGACAGCTCAGTCAGTGAACCCCTGTCTGCCTCCCCAGTACTGGCACCACAAGTGCACATCTGGCTTTTTCATAGGGGTTCTAGAGATTGAACCTGGGTCCCCAGGTACCAAGGCAATTTTAAAAAGTCATTACTAATTATTATACATTTAAAAATAAGACTTTGTTTCAAGGGCTTTAAGTAGATGGCAGGGTGGCAACTGTTCTAGAGTCTGGGAACCTTGTTCAGAGGCAGGCTTAGCCTCCAATTCCTCACACACAGGCAAAAGGCAGGGTGGAATCCTCTCTGGTCCCACCATGCTCACAGCAGGGTAGCAGGAAGCAGGCTAGAGGAAAACCATGGCTTAGGTTGCAGTATAGAGGAGCTAATGGGCTCAGAGAAGGCTTGTGCCTTCTTGGGTCACATGGCCAGGGAAGGAGGAGCTGTTTGTGGAATTCTCTCTCACACTCTGGAGATGCTTTCCTCTGGTGCCTGTGGGCTGTGCTGCAGAGTGCCTTTCTTACCCGCTGTTGATATTAATTAATTCTTGTTACATTTATTATTTATGCTGTATCTGTAGGCATGCATGTCATGGCATATGTGCTGAGGTTGGAGGACAATTTGCAGGAGTCTGCTCTCCCTTACTGGTGTGTGTTTTCAGACATTAAACTCTGCTTGTCAGTCCTGACAGCAAACCGTTTTACTTGTTGAATCATCTAAATGACTGTGTTGCTGTTGCTGAACAATGATTGTGTAGTTCAAACTGTCCCGGAACTCATTTTGTAGACCAGACTGGCCTTGAACTCTGCTTCCCGAGTGCTGGGATTAAAGGCATGCACCACTACTGCTGTATCTGATCATTGTTTCTCTGGTTTGCTGATATTGCTGGCCTTTATAGGCATATCTTTCATTCATTTAAAATCTGGCTGAGCTGTCTACCCATAAAACTGTAATTAGATGTGCCACAAGGGGGAGAAAAGAGAAAACCAATCTACATGAAAAGCCTCAGCTCTGGGTTCCCATTCAGCAGATAATGGATGTCAGAGACTGCCCTGGACATTTGTGGCTGCAGGGACAGAGAAGCTTATCTGGACACATCACACCAGGAACCGAGGTGATAGGCTCCTCAGTCACATGGAAGCTCTGGCCTGTCCCTCAGCACACCTGGGAGCTGAGTTTTGCAGATGCCTGGGTCAGTGTTTGCAGGAATCTCTCAGTGACTTGTTGAATGGCAAGTTCCTTCCAATGGTGCTTGGTTAAAAAGGGACTACTGGGTGTGGTGGCTCACACTTTCATCCCAGCACTGGAGAGGCAGAGACAGGCAGATCTCTGTGAGTTCGAGACCAACCTGGGTTATATAGTGGGACTCTGTCTTGAAAAGCAAAACAAGCAAAAAAACATGAGCTTTTGTTCAGCTGCTTGTCTTTTCTAACCTATAAACTTGGAGGGACATTTTCTGTATTTCATAGCCGAAGAGTCAGATTCAGAGAAGTGGCTGTGCCCAAGACACAGTGGGAAACCTGATGAGGCTCAGGCAGGCATCTTCATTACCACAGCAATGTGGTCTCCCACAGGACAAAGGGCCCTGGCACAACGGTGGCTGGCAAGGGCAGGGTTTTTTCCATTGTTTAAAAAAATAACATGCATGCCACAATGTGAGTGTGGAGGCCTAAGGACGATAACTTTTGGGAGCTATTTTTCTCCCACTACCATGAGTGTTTGTTCTGTGAACCAAATTCCCATCATCGAGCTTGGTGGGAGGGGCCCCTCTTGTGGGTCATCTTCCTGCCTCTTTCCAGTTTTTTATATATTACGAAATGGATAGAGATCCTTAAATGTTCGATGATTTGAGGTAATGGAGAACCTTAAATGTTCAACAACTTGAGGGTGGCAGAGAGATGACCACCGTTATGGGTAACAGAACCCAGTGTCTAAAGGAGACAGTTGCTCTGTCACACAGAGGAGTCAGCTCTACTGATCATGCACACTGAGGACACAGGGCCACAAGGATGCACTTTTTCACACCCAGAAAAAGGAAGTAACCACTCAGTTATAGTAGCCCTAGAGCCCAGCCTCAGCTGGCTCTAGTAATATTTCTGGTCTCAGGGACTTGTGCTGTTTTAACCACCTGGGCAGGAACTTTGCAGTGGCCCAATGGGTCCGACCAGAATGAAAAATACTGTCAACTTGACAGGCTATAGGATCACACAGAGGTCAAGCCTTGGCCATGCCTGCGAGGGATTATTTAGATCAGGTTAATTAGGTAGGAAGACTGCAGGAGGCACCAATTTCCAAAATAAAAAGAAGAAAATGAGCTGAGCATTGACAACTCTGCTTCCCGACTGTGGAGCCACGAGACCAGCTACCTCAAGTACCTGCTGAGGCTTCTCCCCCATGATAGACTGCGTGCTGGAACTGAGTCAGAGTGACCCCTTCTCCCTTAAGTGGCCTTCATTACAACAACGAGAAAACAACAGATCCATTGACTCTCGAGTGTCTTCCAACAACACACACAAAGTCCTGGTCTTGCCTCAGCTTCTGCCTGCCTTGTGCCCTCCAACCAGACTACATCTCCATCAGTTACCACAATGAGCTTTACCGAATTGCAAACACAGCTGTAACTCAACTAGAGCCTGTGGCAAAGTCCAAGCTTAGCAACCCTTATTTACTTTGTTTAGCCCAGTGCCTCACACACGTGTAGAGTGGGTCTGAGAATCAGTGAATGACTGATTGACTGCTTAAGAGCAGGTTTTCAGAGTTAGCTTCAGTATGAAATTTAAAACAGGAGAAGACAGAACTCAAGCACAATAAGGAAGTCACATACACTTTTAACTCTCAAAATAAATACTACTCACTTTTATTTTATAAGTGCAGATGCTGAGTTTTCCTCCAATTACCAACAAACCAGCTTCACATGCCATTTATTATTGGTGGTGGTTTAAAACTTATTTAAATAACCAGTTAGTCAGGATAAATGGGTACCACTAGAAGTGCTAAAAAGTATATCTGGGTATGTACTTCCAACACTAATACTCTGAGGGGGGAAAATTCTCTGGAAGTTTTAATGTGGCTAAGGGGAGATGGAGAAAACACAATCAAATATTCATTTTATATTCTGTACAGGCTGTTAGAACTGTCTCAACCATGTGGAAACTGAAGCGGCTCTTAGCTGTTCAGAAAAAGATAACAACAAACTCCATTCCCATTTCTATCACCCAAAAATTTTGTTATTATTATTATTATTATTAGTGATGTACAAGACTAGTTAAAAAGACCAGTAGGAGGTAAGGTCATGTGGGGACTTGGCCTTGGCCACTTTAAACAAAGGTAAAGCACACTCAGTAGCTGCTAGAGGCTCTACCTAGGTCACAGCAAATATCACAGGGTGCCAACTCAGGCTGCAAGTTCACCGATATTTGGATGTATACATCATTGGTAGAGCAGGGCATGCTGAAGGCATGGGCAGAACTGATCAGGCCAGAACAACGTGAACCCATGCTCTACACTTAGGAAGCTGAGACGGCAGAGATGGATGGTAAGAACTCAGACCCTCTGCTGCTTTACAGTCTCAGTGTCATGCACTGGCATGAAGGCTCAGGTGCATCCCCAGCCCTAGGGAGGTCACAGATCACCTGGTACTCACCTTCCACTGCACTGACCTCCCAACACCTTTACCATTTGAAGATGCTGCTTCCCTGCAGGAGGTCACAGCATCTGTATCCAAGATGGCGAAGTGCTCCACCTGCTTTGACTCCAGAGAGAATGATAGCACCCTGTGAAGAAACCTCATCCCCAGAAATGAAATAAAGTGAATGTCCTTGGACCAAGCAAAAGCTTCCAACTGCAGGATAGCTGTTTGCTATGCATTCACTGTATAGAAATAATGGTATGAATTAGTCCATCCAGCAATATAGCTGCCAACTAAAGCTGGGCCCAGGGATGCTTGGACCTAATACGGACATGATTATGAGACCCATGAGTTAAGGAGCTATATGGGACAATGCCACCACTGGGGAATACAACTGTGAAGTATGTGTTGCTTTTCAATGTATGTAAACTCAAATGAAATCAACAGCATCAGCTTAGATATAGCTCTGGCTTTTGTCTAGGCTAACCTTGTCATGATGCAACATGAAGAGATACAGGTTTAGTGTGGAAAAGAAAACGTGCTCCCCCCAACCCAACCCAACCCAACCCAACCCAACCCAACCCAACCCAACTGGAGGGCAAGGAATCAGGTCAAGTGAAGTAAATTCAATTTTTATTCTTCTATACAATACATGGATATGTGGATAAGTTTTTCTTTAAGAGCTTGCAACCCTGAGGCAATGTCTGTGGGTACATAATGTATAATGCAACAGTAAATGAAATCTGAATGCAGAATGACAATGGACTTAAAGAACATAATTTAACATTGCAAAATTGCACATTGTCTATGCTTCATCTATTTTCTTAATTTGCTACCTCTCAACTGTCTCACCATCTGCAAACTGGACATCCTGATTCTACGTATACTTTTCATAAATAATGGCTTCCTTCTGACTGAAATGTAATAAGTTAACTTGGGATTTAAATCTAGGAGGTCTTTATCTGGGGAGTGTATTGCTAGAGGTGTGCCCAGTTTTGGACCACAGCATCTGCCCACATAAAAACTTTGGCCCCAAAGGAAGCTGGCTGCCCGGACTATGGTGACCTTGAGGTTTCTGAGGGTCCCCTGCGATCCACCACAGGAGAGTTTTTCATCAGGGTATGGCACACTAGATGAGACAGAACATCATGTCTATTGGTTTTAGACTAGTGAATCTACTGCCTCAGCTTTCAGGGTGCATGGCCCATCTTGAGAAAGCAGAGTCACAGTGGGGTGGGCAGGCTGACTGTGGTAATCAGGCTGGAGGGCCTGGAACAAGGATCCCCACTCTGGTTCTTATTCATCAGCCTAAAGGATGGCCATAGAAGTGGTACAAAGCTATTTTTGAATATCCCATTTTGCAAAGTTTCACAAACAATGGCAAAGGCGAATGCTTTTGAGAAACTAAAGGTGAGTTCATTCTATTACATATATATTATCATCCTTCCTTCTGAGGAAAACACCCATGTGTAAAAAAAGCACAGACAAATGCCTATAAGATGACTGGAGCTGTAAGTGCGAAGGCTACCTTTGCCTGGAAACAACCGCCAGGCCTGGAAAGCAAATCTCAGGGACTGGTCCCACTGGTACCCAATGATCCCGAGTTCCCTCTGACCCCAAAGTCAGCCTTTCTGAGGAATCTCCTCCATGGATGCTCATCTTTGTGTCAGAATTATTAAAAAGGTTAAGTGCAGCTTGGGTCTGGTGGAGGGCAGTGGCTCTGCCCTGGTCCTACTGTTTGCCCGATCTCCTCACTTATCAGAACTCCTGCGAGGCCGGCGGAAGCTGGACACGTTTTCGCTGAGGGCGTAGATTCTCCGAGAGAACTCCTCAAATTCTCCCAGCACTTGCTCGTCACACTCCACTGCCACCGCACTGTCCACTGGGATGCAGCTGAGAGCTTCAAGTTGGTCGCCTGAGGTGAAGCCTGTGGCTTCCAGCCCAATGATTTCTTCTGCTTGCTCCACTGCACAGCAGAGCTCAGGTGAGGGGGCCGGGTGGCACTGGCCTGGCAGTGGTGCACCGGCAGAGCCAGCCTGCTCACTGGGCAGCGCTGTGCCATTCACGGCTGCCAGGTGCCCAGACAGGGCTTCCCCTTGCTGGCTGGAGTCCGAGTTCCCATGGTCTGCACCTACACTGTTGCCCAAGTCTACTCCTATTTTCTTATTTTCTTTGGAGAAGTCCAGGGAGGTGTCCAAGGAGGAGGACAGTGGTGTGATCTTCCTGTCAGAGTCTCCCATGGTGGGCATGGCCCCCCTGGGCTGTGTCAATGCCGAATTGTAGCTGGGAGGAGGGGTTTTGTATTGGAGTCTCTCATTCTCTGAGCTGGCTCGTTTTCGATGTCCTTTGTCTGGTGAAGGAATACCCCCAGAGAAGCCTACATCTGCACCCCCAAACATGGAGCTTTGTCTCTTTGGAACAGGGATGGCACTGGAGGTGTGATGTCTGTCGCTAGAACACAAACAAAAATGAGAAGTTACTTTCTGCTTCAGAACTCACTAAGACCTTGTGGAACCAGAGACATATTTTAGCATATTAATAACAGCATATTTTAGATTTGAGATATAAAAAAAAAAAACAAATCCCCAAACAGAAGTAGATTATTACAGTCCTAAATGGTATTTGTTATAGTGTTTAAAACACCACAGAGCATGCTGCAAGGAGGGTACAAATTCATTCAATATATTTAAGACAAGAATGCCCATGATAGGACAGTGATAGAAACCATGTCACTGGGGAAAAGCTGAAGGCTATGGATGGATTGGGTCTGCAAAGAAATGTGCAACATTCCCAGCATTTCTGTGAAGGCTGGTGGGCCCTTGGTGCTCCCATGCTGGTCTTGACTATTCCAATCTATGAAAAGGGCTCAAGCAGGGTGAGTTGTTCACGGTCACCTCCTGATGGATGGTCTTCCTAACTTCCTGGTGGATGGTCTTCCTAACATCTACTATTTATCTGCTGGTATCAGAGAACCAAACAGACAGCATCAAGGGAGCCCTTCTTTTTAATGAAACATTTCCATGGGAAATGGCTTTTCTTTTACAAGGCTGGCCTCATACATTTTTATAATACTTGGTCTTCAGTGCCTCCTCTGAGCCAGGAATAATAATCACTGTCCAGCTACACAAAACTTCAGTTTCTGAAGTAATTAAACTTATATCATTTCACTAGGGCCTTGCAAAGGCATTGTCCAGAAAGTAGAGTAAACCTGAAATAATAAATAACCGTCAGCTAATGGAGTAGAGCACCAGATCCTGAGCCACAGATGCAACTTTGCCAGCAAAGCCTGCAGGGAGCTCTGACAATAGTTCTAGATGTTACTAGGTGTGGGTGGAATTAGCTTCAATACAGCTTTATCAGTGACAGCACACAGAGGTGAGGGAGGTGCAGACGATCTGATGTTTATCCTCCGGATGAGGAGACAACACAGAGGTTAGGGGGCTTGTCAAAGGGCAGCCACCAGGCAGGCCTGAAGCCACGTAACAACTGGCCTATGTGTGCTAGGCCTGCAGCAGGAGAGACGGAGAAGTAGGAGGGCTCTGCCTGCAGGGAGCTTCCAGTGTTGCTGGAGAAGGCACTTACAATTATTCTAGTAACATTATTTTCAAATTACACTGTCAGTTAAACTCTGATGAACAAGGGATCTATGGTGCCTCCTGTGTCCACAGGGAAGCCCAAAGCCACTCACTGCTCATTCTCTGGGTTATGCTATGGACCCAGTTTCTGGAAAAGGCACTCATAAGGCATTCCCCCATTGGCCTGGCACATCTCCCTTAGCCATAGTATGGCTTCATAAGAAGAAGTAGTTCCTGGGATACAAATCAGACTGGGCAAAGTAGACCATTAAATGAGTGTTCTTAAGAACAATACAGTAAAATCTTCTAGCCTGTGTAGGTTTTCAGGCACTAACTATGGCTGTCAAACCCACTGTGATTGGCTGAGCTCTCCATTTTGGCCAACCTTGTTTTACTCTCTGAATGATCCTGCAGGCTGACCAGGTAAGTACATCAAAACAGCTCCAGCAGCCCTCAGCCTGTTGCCTTGGCATGGACAAGCCCAGGAGGGCAGGGAGCTGTGTGTAACCAGAGGCCAGGCAGTTCATGGCTCTTGACTGTGAAGGGTGGGGGCCCTGATAGCCCTCTGTGTGGCTCTGGCACCACGGCCCCCTCATTTCCTGCTCTACTCTGCTGACAAAGGAGGCAAGGAATAAGGAAGGGATTTCTGTGGCCCTCACTTGTTTCCACACTCCCTAACAGCTCTCCTTGATTTCACACAACAGAAAAAAATGTGATTTTCCTCCTGGCTGCTACAATGGGGAAGGAGCAACCATTTTCCTGAATGTCCATCTATTACCTTCTTAGCACCCTGGTCCCCATGACTCTGCCATGGGAGCAAGGCTGGCTGGTGAGTGGGTTCAGGGCTAACGGCCACACCTATCCTAGACTCAGTCTGACCCCACAGCCCATGCATCTTGAGGCTGAACACCACTGCTGAGGACTTCCCAGTAGCCCAGCTCAAAGCCTGGCTGTTTACCCATCTCTCCACATACTCCAAGACTTCGCAGGGCAGCCTTAGTGACATTCTTCTCAGGATCACTCAGGTATTTATTTATAAGAGCCCAGGAAATGAGAGTGTCTGATATAAACAGGAAAATTATCAAAATCCACACTCTCTTACAGATGTGAGAAAATGAAGCCAGATGCAATGAAATGCATCTGTAGTTTTAGCACTAGGAAGGCTGAGGCAAGACTACCCCAGTGCGAGGTCAGCTTAGAGACTCAGTAGAACACTGTCCAGTCACTCTTGAAACCCAGTGAGGAAGTCTACACACCTAGGGACTTTTGTCTTTTCCCTCTTAGGTTTGAGCTATGTGAGATGAAAACCCTTTAAAAGATTTTATTATTAAAATCTTTCATGTAATTTTAAAAAATAGAAAAAAGGCATTTTTTTTGCTACTTGGGATACCAATATGAACTGTATTGCTAAGCGCTGACTGAGTGAAGGGCCCACAGGGGTTTCTGGGCCATTGGCACAGGGTGTGGGCTGCTCTGTGTTCCTCCTGTGGCTGTAGGACTCAGGGTGACTAGTTTCCCTGCTCTTTTGAGCTGACCCCTAAGAACTGTGTGCATTGTGCAAGAGGGTGTGCATAGTGGGCACACTACATTGTGTTCTGTGAGCTCTGGGTACTGAATTACTGGAAGTCTCTGACAAGATATGTTTGATATGCTTTATATGTGAACTTTGCAAAATTAATTTTAGCCACTTGGAATGGTGTTTTTACATGGAGAATCTTAGCAATATTGGTGGTGGTGCATACCTCTAGTCCCAGCATTTGGGAGGCAGAGGCAGGTGGATCTCTGTGAGTTCGAGACCCGAGACCAGCCTGGTCTACATGAGCTAGTTTCAGGACAGCTTCTAAAGCCACAGAGAAACCCTTTCTCAAAAAACCAAAAACCAAAAAAAAAAAAAAAAAAACCACACAAAAGAATCTTAGCAATATTACAGATTTTTAAGATAGTTGAGTGCTGAACAGCTAAGCTATTAAATAATGACATTATAATTATACATTAACTATGCAAACATTTAAATTATTGCAGTAATTTATACTTGTAGGAAAAAACATAAATATAAACCACATACAAAAAAAAAAAAAAAAAAAAACCCTGTCATAAGCTATTACCCATCAACTAACTACTATTAATTTTGGATGTTTTCCTTCCAGACTTCAATTTTATGTTTAATTAAAAAAAAAAACATGGTTTTGTGGTATATAAATAACTCTATGTTCTGCTGTCATATGTTATTAAAACCTCTGGGTGAATATCATTTTAAAAGGCTGCTTTAATAAATGGAATGCTGTAATTTATTTAATTATTCCCTCATTTTTAGGATGTTTCTAAACTTTTACTGTTATTAAAAAAAACAGCTGTTGATCTCATAGGCCAATGACCTGAGTTTGATCCTGGGATCCACAGTGTTGGGGTGAGGGGCAGATGACAACCAACTTAGGAAACTTGCCTAATAAATAAATACAAGTAAAAATGATAGTGATCAAAAAGGCCAATAATCAACTAAAAATACTGATGCTCAGGTTTTATTTAAGGTTTTTTTTTTTTTTTTTTTTTTTTTTTTTTTTTTGGTCTGATTAATAGCCTTGCTTCATGAGAATTTCATCTGATTGAAGAGTTTTAAAGTCAGATTTACTAATTGTGACCAATTTTTAAAATGCTATTGACAATTTACCTCTCTCTCTCTCTCTCTCTCTCTCTCTCTCTCTCTCACACACACACACACACACACACACACACAAGGGGCTTGAGGATGCAGCTCAGCACTGGCTTACGCTTAACATGGGCAAAGTCCTGGGTTCAATCTGCAGTGGAAGGAAGGAAAAGAGGTAGGAAGGGAGGTGGAGGGGAGGGAGGAAGGGAGGTGGAGGGGAAGCAGGGAGGGAGAGGGGAAGGAGGGAAGGAGGAAGGGTGGTAGAGGGGAGGGAGGAAGGGAGGAAGAGGGGGGCAAACAACACTTCCCTGAACATCAGCAGGGGCACAGCAGGAAACATGGTAGCTTTTTCTGACATCCAGCCCCTGCTAAGAAGCCATATGTTCTGAGCCCTAAACTTACTGAGATGCAGAGCCTGAAGCTCAGGCAAGTTGATGGGGTTCACTGCCTCTCATTAGCCACAGTGCCCTGAGAAAATGAGTCTTCTGGCTTGCTGTGTGTCCAAACTGGAAACGTTGTATATTGGGTTTAATTCTACAATTATAATTTATTTGAAACAAGGCAAAACAACAACAACAACAACAACAAAAACCCCACAACAGTTCAAAGTTATTGCAGATTTAGTGGGCATTGTTTAGTGCAGAGAGAGAGGCTGGTAAATAACCCAACCATATCAGTGGCAGCTAAATGACCTAACAGCAAACACTTGCTGTTAGACAGAAAGGACTTCAAAGGTCAAGCATCAGCATGGGAAGAGGCCAAGTGGCTTGGAGTTTAAAGGTCAAAGAGGACAGCCTGGTTTCGGTTTGGATTCTCTCTAAATGAAGGTGGTTCATGTCTTTCTCGTTCTGGGCACCTTCATCTACTCCAGTCACCTTTCCTGATCTCCACAGCTCTTCCTAAGGACTGTCCCCTGGAGAAGAGAGGTTCAAGGCCTCCACCCCACTCCCAGCTTGGCTTGACTGACCCTTTGTTTGGAGTTACAGCTTCCCCATTTATTAGTTACATGGCCAGGGCAGTTTTTTCCTTTGCATAATAGATCATCCGACCTTGCTTAAAGACTAAATAAAGTAACATACTTAAAATCCTTGGCAAAGCTGGGGGGTGATGGTGCGTGCCTGTCATCCAGCCCTTGGGAGGTGGAGGCAGAAGGATCAGGCTACATGGCAAATTTGAGACTGTCTCAAGAACCCCCAACAAAACAGCAGGGTCCAGTACGGCTTTACTGC